GAACCCCAAAAGGCTATATTACATTTTATAAGGTACATAATGGCATCGATAATATTATGAACTATATTACGATTTTCCATGATTATATCAAGCTTATTTGATAGCAAATGATCTTGAATGCGTTTATTTGCAAGCCAAGTCATGTTTGCATATTCACAATCTTTATGAAGAGAAGATGCTTCGTGTCTCTCTAAGTCACGCTTTATGTTTTTTCAATTATTTACCCCATGTTGAGTCCAAAAAGTATTGGACTTAGGGCCACCAAACATAATACAATATAGACAAAAGACTTTGTCTAAAGTAGTGCTATAAGATAGCCAATTTCCGGGGTTGAGGGAACCATCTATATTAACCTTTCTATAATAGGTTATATTCATGCTCCTGTTTAAAAAGTAAAAAAAAATATATTGGTATAGAAATAACGGATGGGTAAAAATTAATGAAAATAAATATTATTTAAAACCTCTTGTTAGTAACAGGATATTGAAATTTATTTGTACATGGCTGACAAGGGCCTACAGCAATTATGAAATTTATCAAAATATTTGTCATCCTAAATAATATAAAGTGAAAAGGGTCATTTGGTTCGTTTTTTTTGTATAGCTGAATAAGACTTGGACTTTGAATATCCTCATAATTTATTCCCTTCAAAAGTTATTATAAAAATTTTATTTAAATATAATGCCTCATGCAAAGTAAGTGTCTCACTAGAACCGGGGATTGGATGATGAGATAATACAATTTGTGAATCTTCAATATTGGAGATTTGCTATAAATAAAGAGTATAATTTGTTTACTTATGAAAAACTATTTTTAATATAATTTCCGCCAAATGATTTATTTTCTTCAAAAGTTATCATATAATTCGTATTTAAATTAAATACCTCATCATGCAAAGTAAGCACCTCACTGGAACTGGGGATTGGATGAGGAGATAATACAATTTGTGAATCTTCAATAACTGAGATTTTCTATAAACAAAGAGGAGTTTAATTTCTTTCCTTATGAAAACTATATTTTTAATAAAATTTAGCCAAATGGTAATTTTTTTCTTTTATAATTAAGTTTTAAATAAATGTTGGAAATATTTGAATAACCTCATAATCATAATTTATTTTCTTCAAAAGTTATCATATAATTCATATTTAAATTAAATACCTTATCATGCAAAGTAAGCGCCTCACTGAAACTGGGGATTGGATGAGAAGATAATACAATTTGTGAATCTTCAATATTGGAGATTTGCTATAAATAAAGAGTATAATTTGTTTACTTATGAAAAACTATATTTTTAATAAAATTTTAGTCAAATGGTCATTTTATTCTTAACTACATTATAATTAAGTTTTTAATAAAGGTTGGAAATATTTAATTAACCTCATAATCATAATTTATTTCTTTCAAAAGTTTTCATATAATTCGTATTTAAATTAAATACCTCATCATGCAAAGTAAACACCTCACTGGAACTGGGGATTGGATGAGGAGATAATACAATTTGTGAATCTTCAATAACTGAGATTTTCTATAAATAAAGAGGAGTTTAATTTCTTTCCTTATGAAAACTATATTTTTAATAAATTTTTAGGCAAATGATAATTTTTTTTAACTACATTATAATTAAGTTTTTAATAAATGTTTTAATTCTACATGAATACATGATTGAGAAAACAGGTATTAAAAATATTATGAAGTCCAACATAAAGTTATCAGGTTACAATGGAAAGATGATACAAGTAATAGGTACAGCACAAGTGAATGTAGAATACAAAGGGAATTCACATATTTTGAACGCGATAATCATAAACATCAATATGACTTTGTTAGATCATGTAAAAACATTTTTAAAATATACTTGAAAGATTCATAGGCATGATAGATGCAGATTAATATAAAACTGCGATCACATGAAGAAATCATAAAACAATATTATAATGACTGTAAAAATAAAAACAATATTAAGTATAAATAAAATTGTGAAATTCATGATGAAAGTATATAAGAAATTCTAATAGCTAAATAAAACAATGATAATAAACATACCTAATATAACACATAATGTAAATAAAGGGGATGAAATTCACACAGATAACATTTTGAAAATAGTTGAATCCAAATCATATTTTATAAGATTTATATTTAAAAAAAGTAAAAGAATTTGGAGTCTTAATTCAATTAAAGATGAAAAGATTTAAATTTAAAAATTCCTAGAAATTAACATTACCTTATTTTACTACATTATATTAACTTAATAAGTTTTTTTAATACTTTGGTTTTAAATTATTATTATTAACTTATTAAACATATTGTTAAATTGAACTTTATAAAGTATATATAGATATAAAAATAGTGTGATAAACAGTTAAAAAACATTAAATAATAATATATATAATTTATTTTCTCTATACCCTGACTACTTTAATATTAATATTATTCTGGTAAAATTTTAAATCAGTTTCTATTAATTCACAAATTTATAGTTACAATAATAAATAAAAAATATTACTTTTTGGAAGTAAGATGTTATTGTCTTTTTTTGCAACTGGGTTTCAACTCCATTTGTGATATTATATGGAATATCACAATTATGGAATATCACAATTTAAAGATACCCAATTATTATTATCTCTTTTGATGGCTACCTTTGTAAATTTCATATCCTGGCTTGACATGAGGATGTTTATGTTTATAATGTTCATGTATCTTGTCACTTCTTATTTTAGAAGTTTTGATTTTTAATATTGCACTTAACTTTAAATATGGTTTTGTTACTTGGCATCTAGAAAGAAATAATTATTATAATATAATTTTTTACATATTATGTTTTTTATTATTCTTTGCTTGCTGATATATGTTTTTATGCATGACTCAAAAAATTACCTAAAATTTATCCTGCTAAAATCTATAAATTTATTAAAAAACATAATATAAATATATTAACCTCTAAGAAAAGTACCAAATAGGAAATGTGTAAATATTAACTTGATAAAATGCTAAATGAAAATCGTTGACAAAGAAAATTTATATTATTTATTAATTGACAAATATCTTTACTTTAATTGACATTTTTCAGAAAATCAAACGATAACCATCATAATCGTATCAATTAATGGATTAAAAAAGATTATAATTCAAATCAAAAATTACCCACCAAAAATCAATACCTACCCCCAAAAAAATAATGCCTACCCCCAAAAAATTAATATCAACCCCTTCAAATCGATACCTACCCCCAAAAATGCTAATATATTTTGGAGGCATTTGTCTCCTACCCCCCCCCCCCCGGCCATGTAGACGCTGGGCCTGATCAAAAAATCACGTCCCATGCAACTTTCCCAAATTTTTTCCATTTCTATTGTAATTTAATAACAATGTCTTAAATTTAATTTTATATTACATTTATTTCTATTGTAATTTAATAACAATATCTTAAATTTAATTTTATATTTAGAATAAAATTTAAAATAGATATGCTTGAAAATTTTTTAATTTTAAATATGAGGTAGACATTGGCCGGAAATTTATTTTTGCAGACATAGCCACAATGATCATTGCATAGCCAGGCCTGATCAAAAAACCAAGACCCTTGCAATTTTCATAAAATTTTGCCATTTATTTCTATTGTAATTTAATAACAATGTCTTAAATTTAATTTTATATTTAGAATATAATTTAAATTTGTGATAGAAATCATTTTGGGTAAAATTTAAAATAGATATGCTTGAAATTTTTTAATATTAAATATGGACCAGACATTGGCCTGAATTTTTTTATCTCAAACCTGGCCAACCCATAATAATTTTGTATTTTTTTCCCAAGCCTGTAGATAGGCAAATTTCTGAAAACCATATTGTTGGGAAAATTTTATCAAGCCCGCCAAAGACTGTTAGTTGAGAGAACTGAAATAAAATATATAAAAGTCATAATTCATTTAAAAATAAAATCAAAATATGAAAGTTGCATGAGCTTGGTTTTTTAATCAGACCTGACGATTTCTGCAAAAAAAAATTTTTAAGCCAATATCTAGCCCATATTTAAAATTAAAAAATTTTCAAACATTTCTATTCTATATTTTACACAATATGATTTCTATCACAAATCTAAATTTTATTCTAAATATAAAATTAAATTTAAGACAATCAATAAAAATAAATTGCAAAATTTTATGAAAGTTGTATGGGACTTGGTTTTTTGATCAGACAGAGGCCTGGCTATGTCTGCAAAAAAAAAATTTCAGGCCAATGTATAACCCATATTTAAAATTCAAAAATCTTAAAGCATCTCTATTTTAAATTTTATCCAATACGATTTCCATCACAAATTCATATTTTGATATTTCTAATACATGCTCATTTACCTCTTTTTCTCCTAAATTTTAATATTTATATAAAATTTATTAATAAAGTATATTTAGTACCATACACACAAACTAAATAATTATCTTCAACCCCGTCAGCTATTATGGTAATAAACGGCATAATTTTAAAAACATCAGCTATTAATAAATATATATATATAATTAATTTCAATTTAATTACATTCAAGTTGGTTTATGCTTAAAACATGCGACTTTGAAACGGGAGGTTTGTGGTTTGACTCTCGTAGAGAGCAAAAAAATAACATTACACTATATAGTCTCTTTAAATTTTAAATATTAGGAAGATACGAAAACGATCATGTTTTGATTATAGAGATTTTATATATTAGATAAGGAATCGTGAGGATTCTTATGGAAAAAACTGTATTTCTATACCCTATTATTTTAAAAACTAACATTAGAATTTTCAGAATCAGAAGACCCTAACATGATTCTATGTTTATTTATGAATTTGTATTCAATTAGCTTATTTTCAATGTCGTAAGAATTCTATTTCAATCATACATATAGTATTCCTATAATATTTTAATAATTTACCCATTTTTTAAAAAAAAATATCATTAAAATTTTCTGAATCACCTAGAAGAGCAAAATATCTTAAATTTTCGTGGATTAATTTGTAAGGACATTTGAGTGGATGATTTGGTAAACAACGACCGCTAAATAATGCCCAAATTTTATTAATTGAAATATGAAATTTAAAATTAAATGTGCAAAATATTTTGGTATACTTAAAAATTATATTTCTACATCATCTGGTGACTTTACTTCCAATCTCCAAACACTAAATATAATATCTGGAAATTGGTGGGATGAAGATGGAGAATTTAAACCACTTCATAGCTTAAACAATATTAGGGTTCCATTTATAAGAGACAAGCTCATTATAAACAATCTTAAGAGCAACATATTCAAGCCACTTAATGGTTATAATATTCTTGATGTTGGGTGTGGAGGTGGAATACTCTCCGAAGTTTTTTTTTTTAATAATTAAAAATAAATTATATAACAAGCCATTAGCAAATATAGGAGCAAATGTCACTGGTATTGATACAAAAGAGAATATTAATATTGCTATTCACCATTCATTCAATTATTTACCAGACATAAAAAGCAGATTAAACTATATTTCAACAATAGTAGAAGAGCATTGTGAACAAAAACCTAATTACTATGATGCTTGTATAGCATCAGAAGTATTGGAACATGTTGATAACTATGAGTCTTTTGTTAAAAGCTGCTGTCAAACAGTCAAGGTATGAAATTATTAGTCATTTGGAAGATTGATAATTTAGAAAATTATTTATTTTAATATATGATTTATTTAATTTTATTTTTTAATAAAACTTTGTATAGCCAAATGGTAAGATCTTTGTTACCACCATAAATAAAACAAGACTTTCAAAATTTTTTGTAATCAATGTTGCCGAAAATATTATGGGAATTGTTACCAAAGGCACACATCATTGGCAAAAATTTATTCATCCTTTTCATCTAATTCGAACATTAGAAAAATGTAAGATTTAAATTCCCTATAGATATTTTTTTTTATAAGAACATCTTAGATGGATTCACTGTTAATCTCATCCAAGGCATGATGTACAATCCATTATCTTCTAATTGGCACTGGATCCCTAATATATCCATTCATTATGTTCTTTATGCCACAAAGAACACTAAATATAAATAAAATTTCCAGATAAACACTAAAAAAAATTTATTACTTTATATATATTATATATCATATAATATCATTTTTAAACTAACAATTTTACATAATTATAAAAAGAATATATATTTCTAAAACAATAATATACACTATATTATAGCAATGAATACTTTTATTTGCTGCTTTTGTAAAATACCAAATTATTAAACATTCTAAAAATTAGTTGAATACTTGTTTTTATGTAATTTTAATAAAAAAATTATATTTTCTTATATATATTAAATATATTTTTTTTAATTTTTCTTATAAAATTCATAGTTTTTGAGAATATAATCAAATAATTCAAAAGTACCTTTCTTTTTATTGCCTGTTTTTTATATAGATGTTTTTCCATTCTCTTTCCAGTTCTGCTAATTAAAAGGGTTTCTGGTTTACAAACTTTTAAGGCAATGAAAAAAATATTTTAACAATAAATTATCCCTTTGATTTCACATTCGCAATGCGATCCAACACAATTTAACAGCTGCTCAATTTTTAAAATCTATTGTGGTGAGATCAATTTTTTTTATTAATATAAATCATTCCTAATAATATTTTAAGAATATTTATTTTAATAAAGAAAAAGTTATCTTATAAACAGATTTTTTAAAATCAGCTATTGCATTTTCATGGATTGGATCCCACTATGAATCAATGATGTATATATACTACTTTGAAATTCATTAAATGCATTTAAACGTGTCCTTATATAGGAGTCGGTTGTAGCGCCATTTTGTGGTTCCTACTTAATTATATAGCCTTAATATACATTCATTAGGGATAAATAATGACAAGTTGAAGTAATTTATTTTTAAATTTTCTACTTGACCTAAAATGGTATGGCCATATATAAAAAAAATTTCTAGGGCTGTGCTGTTATTAAATATTGGATCTAACCGATACCTGTAAGAAACCGATCCGATCTTTTTACTTTTCTTTTTTTTATTATTTTATGTTATGTATATTTATTTTGCATTATTATAATATTTTCTAGATAATTTTTTTTTAAATAATAAAAATGCACATCACCCTCCAAATTTTTTTTTAAATAGATTTATAGTTAGTTTTTTAAAAGTATTTTTATAAAAATAAAAAGGAACACCCAAAGTTTTATTTATTTTAATTTTTTTTAATAAATAATAACGCCAATTTTATTATTTTTACTGAATTTTTTAAATATGGTATCTGAATTATAGAAATATAGAAAAGACAAAGAAAATTTAGCAAAATGCGTTATCTGCAATCATCGGAGTCTGCCTTCAATACGGCAGGGGATATAGATTGTCCATATTGTAGAAGCTTATTGCCAGAAAATCTAAAGGCTCTCATATTTATTTTAAAAAATCTAATATATTATAATTATACAAGTTAATAACCCGTCAAGAATGACGGTGTTGAGGAATAATTAGTTTGTGCATATGGTACTAAATATACTTTATTAATATATTTTATAAAAATATTAAAATTTAGGCGAAAAAGTTGTAAATTTATGAATCACACCTCATAAGATATTCTTAATTTCTAATTCATCTATCATCGAATAAGGGAGAAAAGTATGATGACTCGTCTTTCTTGAAGGGCAATATGAAAAATATATAACTAAGAGTACCAGAGCTCCCGTTAGTTAGCATTGCTGAGCCCGTCAAAAATGACGGGGAATGAGAATTTTCTCCTTACTCTTATGATAGTTGTTACCTGTTATTTGAAAATACTACTATCCAATTTTTATTATTTATAACCCCCTCCCACCTTCAGCCCAGGTCCAATCCATTAAATAAATGCTAAGTTTTGAGTTAAAATATATTTAATTTTACTTGTTACCCATATCAATATTATTTGTTAAAATATTACTGATCATCTATACCTAATATTTTATATTGCAAAATTCCCACACAAGGTCCAAGGCCATAATAATTTGGTAGTTTAGAACTGGAATAAAATATTTAAAAAAACCTTAATGAATTTAAAAATACAATCAAAATCAGATTTTATGCACCTTGGTTTATTTGTTATAGGTCAATTTCTGATCCATAGCTAATAACAAAAAATTCTCAAGCATCCAAGCTGTTAATAATTTGAAAATTTTTCCCTAAGCGTAGCCCAATATAATTCATAAAAATATTTTCCAACAAGCCATTATAATTTTAAAAAAATTTTCTCAAACCTATTTTGAAATTTTTTTCAGCTTCCAATAAAAAAAAATATAGAAATATTTTCCAAGCCCAGCCCGACCCACTATAATTTTAAAAAAAAATTCTCAAACCTGGCCAACCAATAATAATTTTGAAATTGTTTTCCCAAGCCTGGAGCTTCCAATAAAAAAAATAAATATTGATATATATATATATAAGAAGAATTGTATTGCAAAATTTAATATAGAAGGGGGCTGACTGGAAAGAACGTTTGCCTATCGAATAGTCAGTATTTCGAATCTCGTTGATGTATTAAAAAAAAAAATTTAAGTTTCCTTTAAAAAAAATAAATAATTTAACATTAGAGGTATATAGACTCCTTCGTTATTTAACATTAAAATGATAGGAAAGTTGATAGAAAAAATTAAGATTATAAGAAAACGTTCATTTCTTGATTACGGCGATTATATATTTAGATATATTAATTATTACAATTCTATAATTCATACAAACATAAAATGGTTATATTATTAAATATATTTTTTTAATTAGTCTTAATCGTAGAAATAAAAAAATTAAATACATAATTCGATTTTTTGCATAAAAAATATTGATTTCTTAATTACATTTGGTTCAATAGGGGGTGGTGAAAAATAAGTATCGGTATCTGATCTTCGAAGTAATATCGAATCGGTGAAAAATATGTGGATCGGCACAGCCCTAAAAATTTTAATGTTATTTTTCTCAAATCAATTTAGCTTAGTTTATATACCAAATTTAATTTAATAACTATTTATTTAAAATTCAAAAGGTAAAAATGGCGATTTTTGCACATTTAACTCTTAATATTAGATTATATAAAAGGTAGCGAGTTCAAAATTCGTTTCTGTTCAAAATATAATGTATATAACATTCGTACAAATTTTTTTCGGAATTGAAATGATCGGCCTAGAGTGCATTTTTTTCGTCAGTTGACATTGAATAACCCACAATGGTCATTGTTACAAAATCCGGATAATTATTGATTTTGAAATAATAGACTATTAGATTACAAAAATATGAGTTTCAATTCAATTTTAAACTGGAATATTTTACGTTTGTTGATAAAAAGTGTACATATGAAAATTTGAAGATAATTATAAAAAAATTAAATTCGTAATCGGATAATTAATTATTCATATTCGAAATAAAGAATTGAATAATTAATTCGGTTGTGTTTTTTAAAAATCTTTTTCCCTTTACACCTATAAACAATAGGGGATACTAGGGGTAAGGGGCCACGTTTTTCAATTTAATATAGTTCAAACATTAATCTATAAAATCAAAGCTCTTAGTTTAAAGTGTAAGGATTATATTTATAAAATATTATAAATTTGAATGCGTAAATTCTCGTTAGACAAAAAGATGTATCTCAATTTTTGTTCACAGTGTAATAAAAACGTTTATTTATATTTTTGATCCATCGAATAAATGATACATTTATAAAATCTTCAAACAAATACCAAAGTTAAGAAGTAGATAGTCAAAAAATCAGCATCTTGCATTTTTACCTTAAAAATTAAAAGCAAAAGGAGAATAAAACAATCTTATATCATAATGTATTACAATCCCTCAACTACAAAATAAAAAAGTGTGGCTCTACCTATAATATCTCTTAGAAGCTATATTATGTAAAGTATAAGTATGCAATTTTACCCTGGCTCCAATATAAATAAAATTCGACCCAGTATTTTTTTCATATGGGATAGATATTAATCTCTGAATTCTTTTACTGCTTTTACCAAGCAAAAAATTTTAACCGCTTTACACCAGAATGATATCTATTATATAATTGCTTTACCCCGGTCTCTGCTTAAAAATTCTATTTTCCGATTTTTACTTATGCGCAGACCTCAATATAAATATCGAAAACACATATTGCCAAACCTTAGAGTTGTAAAAATATAATCTAAGTAAATAAGATGCAGCAATGTCATCGCATTATCCTATTTCTTCTGCCAACTTTAAACAGAAACTTTGGGAGTCCTTATAAATTTTGGAAAATTCTGCTTATTTTATAGCAATTTAGTTATATAACGAAGAGTAAGTAAGTGATACACACTTTTCGAAGTAACGACAACTAACATTTTTTCTAAATAACGATAGCCCTTAAATTTTTTTAGAGTAACGTTTCCGACTCTAAATATAATTAAAGCCTTTTAACTAAGGCCTAAAATTCATCTGTTGTAAAAAAATATTTATTCATAATAAATTGCTAAAAATAAAAAATTAGGAAACAATAAATAAACATTTTATAAATATCACTATTTATCATTACAAAAGCTATAAAATAAATACATACAAAAATGGATTCGCATTTCGTAAAGGATGATCATCTTCAGCCTTATTAGTTTATATAATTATTTATCTTGAAGTCAAAACACAAAATAGTCGTATTAAGTGAATCCAGCATTCTGCCTAGATATTGATAAGTGATCTTTTTAAAAATAATAGAAATAAATTTAGATTATACTATCCAATATATCTCGAAAATTATTTGTAATTATAAATTTATAAAGAGCAACATCGTGAACAAGATATATGTATATAGATAAAATGCGATCTAATCATAATAAAGCAAAGAAAATAATTAACTAGATTCATCTAAACATAAAATGTGGGGAATGAGTTTTAAAAATCTAGTAAGAGCTTGTCTTTTAAATAGTAAATTAGATTGAGTAAGTAGTTTAATATTTTAATGGATATTTCATCCTAACATCTTACAATAAACAATGCGAGACTTCTTTTATAATTAAAAAACATTTATATTATTATTATAAATTCCTAAATTTCAGCATAAATATTTCCATATAAAAAATAGAAATCGCATTCCTATATAAATAAAAAATTGGAATATTTCTGATAAAATGTTGAGTATAGCACTACCCTCCCACCCCTTCTAATCGACTGTTTTAATCATGAATGGGAAGAAAAAAATTCCTGAAAATCGATTTAATATTTACAAACTTGAAAACTTTAATATTATCAAAAAGGCTATTTTTGTTAAAAGTAATAGCCAAATTTAAAATTAGTAAATACATACCGAATTCAGAATAGTATCATTGTATTTCCACTCTAACCTAATGAAAGAATTGTTCGATGGACATGTAAATGGCCCTTCCGGGGAACACAGAGATATAGACGAAGTTTCATAGTTTTCATTTTCAAATTTTTTGACCTCCACATTTCCACCCGTAATTTTCTGATCTGTCAAATTATATATTTTTTTTTAATTGATCATAGTAGAACCGGACCTATATAACACTTTTTTAAACCCCGAACGAGTCTATTATCATCTTTTAATCAAGTCACAAATAACCAATCTGTAAGGTCAATTTTAACTTTATTGACAAAAATTATTTGATTTGCAAAATAGACTATTATCGGGACCAGAATTACAAGAATACATGTAAAGAAAATATAAAAATCAGGTGATTTATAACCGTATCAGGTAAATTCAGTGAAACATTTTTCGCGAAACCTTTATCACGAATATCGTTTATCGTGAAGATTATTTTAGTGAAGGTAATATCGCAAAACCAATTCTGCAAATTTTTTCCTGCATAACATTTATAGCGAAGACAATATCGCTAAACCTTAACCGCGAATACTTTAGAGCAAATACATCTTTGCGAATTATCGCGAACCTTTTATAGCGAATTTTCTACTGCGAATGTATTTGTGCGAAATCATTATAGCGAGCACATGACCACAAAACAGTTTATATATTGCGATTCATTTATTTAAATTAAAACAACATATTGAATATCAATTTACCTAGCAAAGTTCCTTAAATTATAAACGCGAAATGTTTTAAATATGATGTGATAGAAAGAAATTAGCCTTTCTCTCACTCATGGTTATAAGTACGGAGGGGATTTGATTTAAGTTCCCTACCCCCACCTAAATTTTTAAAATGAGCTTTATGTCATTAAAAGCAAATTTTAACAAATATTCTGAAAAGCTTAGAATTTTCCAATCAAGATAAAAAAAAAATACGGAAAGCTAGGAATTTTTACTGATTTTCTCAGATTATTTTTTAAAATCAAAAAAGATTTTGCTAATAATTATTTTTAATTTTCTAGGAAATTTTTTATTAAATTTTTATGAGTTAATATTTTTATTAAATTTTCCGAGTTAATATTTTTTAAAGATTCTTCTAAATGTTGTGTAAATCATAAATGGGAATCTCATTTAAAAAAATTGTTTATCTAGAAAATTGTTGTTCCTTAATCGGAACCCAGAGGTAAAAATAGAAATGTAAATTATATATAATGTCTAATATGATATACTTATTTAAAAAATTTAAGAGATTCATGCCACATTTTTTTATATGCCTCCCAATTATAATTTTTATATAATGCACATCGATATAACTTCCTGATATAATAGTAACTATTTCTTTTGAATATTTTGACATCCCCTTTTTCTTCTTTCCGCATTTCAATAAATAGAAATAACTGCAAAGTTATGATTAAGCAAAAATAATTTCAAAATATTCATTATCAGATAAATTTGTAATGGCTATGAAGAATAAATTATTGGAATAAATTTTTTGATCTTCAGTTGTTTTAGTACTTTATTTTTGCTGATTTCACATATTTCATTAATAAAAAAAAACTCTTTCTCTATGTGATTTTATTGGAATAAATTATTTACTCTTCAGTTGTTTTAGTTTTTTAATTTTTCTGATTTCACATATTTCATTAATAAAAACTCTTTCTCTATGTGATTCCATGGTTGTCTAAGATTATAACTTTCTACCACTAATATTATTTATTATACAACCTTCATCTTCATCTCTACAATCCTTATTCCTTACTTTGATTCTTATCACGAGATAGTTTATAGAAAATTAATACTGCTTGATCAGTGGCGTAGTTACGGGGGTGGTTTTCGGGTTTGGACCCCTCCCAGAGCAAATTTTTTTTAGATTATACGTTAAAAGACTTAAAAGTGACTTTGTATCAAATAAATACCATTAATATTTATATTTTTCTGGTTTTGATGTTTGTGAAAGGATATTATATTACTATTGAATTTATTCTGGGTAGTATTATTATAAAGTCATTGAGAATAATCTACTAAATTATAATAACATTATTCATGCATTTAAAAATATTTATATATATTGTCGAAGATGTGGTTATGATTTTTAAGATAAACCCGGCCGAAGGCCGGGCATAAAGGGGGCCTGGGGGCGAAGCCCCCAGGATTTTATCTGTATGGACCCCCTCTAAGGAAAATTCTTAGCTACGCCACTGTGCTTGATAATCTTATCTTTATTCTCCAATTGTAGCTATATAAATATTATATAGATAATTATAAGATTTATACTTTATAAATAATTAACAGTTTTGTAAAAAATTTTATAATTTATATTATACTTGTTTGAGTTTCCGGTTTTCCAATGTAGGACCATGAATGATTAAATTTTAACACAATTGAATATGAAAAAGAAAATTCTATAGTATAGTCTAACTAGAAAATATAAAACAATTTTTAAATAAAGGAAAATTTTTTGCCATTTTTTAAAAATAATACCTGTTCAATAATTAACATCGTTTTGGGGAAAAACAATGCTAAACGCTTCCACTCAATTTGTATAGTGATGTTAAGCGGCTTAATTTTTTTAGCCAGGAAAATATTGACTAAGCATCGAGATTTTGCTAATAGATGACCAAACCTTTGTGCCACCTATGACCAAAATCTTCAGGCTCGCGTAATATTTTTCTTGATAAAATATTGAGTTAGCCATTTTTAAAAAATGGCTCAAATCGAGCCTTTTAACAACATTAAATTTGTAATCACTTTTACTCATTTTTTATACTAAAATGGAATTAAAATATATCAGGATTTTTTGAAAATAAATATAAATAGAAAATGTTTCAAATCAAGAAAATAAAGATGTTCCAATATCGGGAAACAGGGGCAAAATGGGATAATTGCTTATTTATTTACTCTTACATATTTTACACATTTTTTTGTTGGATAGGGAGATAGACCTATAAATATCTTTTATCATAGAGTTCTATATAGGCATCAATATCAAATGAAAGATAATTTAAAAAATTGAGCTCTAAATCGTCACACTAGTAATCATATCTAGATCACGACGGGGGGGGGGGCGTTAAAAGCATTTTCTAAATTTTGACAAGAGTATTTGAGAAGGATAATAAAAAATAATTATAAAAAGTCCCTATTATTTTAGTTCTGAGGTTAAATAGGTAACCTATTCAATTTTCTCATTTTGTAAATTGTAAAAATTTTAGGTTTAGGAATAGGCATACATATTACAAAAGTGAGGTGGAATTTTCAACGATCAAAATGATAAAAAGCGGAATTAAGCTTGACAAACGCACTCACATTTTATTTCTAAATATTGGTGAATTCTTTTGCTAAATTACAAACTTATAAATCTTTATTTGAATATATGCATATTTATAAAGTCAAAATATATAAAAATTAAATAACTCTTCGCATTCATGTCAAAATTCTGCTTTACTATTAATTCGGCCTCTAATAGATCAAATGAGACCGAAGAACAATTTTTTCACCCAGTCATGAGACAGCATTTGAATGTAGAATTAAAAATATATCTTTTTAGGTTTATATTTACATTTTTATACAATTCTTTCAAAATATTTGAACTTGATTGTATCGTTCAAATATCATAGCTTTAAGATATTTATATTTATAATCATTAAAATCATCTCTTTTTTCAATATGAATGATGGTTTGATAATTCTGAGCTGAGTTATTTCTTTATATGTCTCAACTTTGTTTATCAGAACCAATGGCGTAGCCAGGATTTATATATCTTAATATCATCGGCTTTAAATTTAGCGGCTGAATAGTTCTAAGAAATAATTGTATGTCAACATTTCTTGCTTTTTAGTATTAATAGAGTGCTTACAAAATTTTGGCAGACTAATGATTTAAGCGACGAAATCATTTATTCCGAAAATTTTATCGATGTTCCATGTTAATTAAATTTTTAATCCATTTAATAGACAGCATAAAGAAAAAGATTATTAGGAAAATAAGAAAAAATGGTCAAATTTGGCATGCATGATTGAATGGAAACCTAGTTGACGTTAATATTTAATAATTCTTCAGTCAATTTTTTCACACACAAAAAGGTATTTTAAGCCAAATAAAATATATCATTAAATCTGGAACTTACGTTAATAATTAGTTAAAATTATTACATTGATCTACAATTCGTTTGGTAGATATTTTAAGCATTAATGGCAAAATAAGATAAAATTACCAAGATTAGTAACATGCGTAAACAAACATTATAGAAGCACTGGATATTTTTGGGTGAGTTCAATCCATAAATTCCATACTAATCCATCAATCAGTTTTTCCAGTCAAAAAACAAAATCTAGTTATATTGCGAAATAAAGATAGCACGCCTTTAAGTATAAACCAAAAAGTTATTAGCATTACTAAAATTTGTATCAAAATTTAAGATTGAACAAAAAATCTAAGGAAAGCAATTATAATAAAAAAAATTAAATGAAATATCTAGAAAAATATATTACTGTCATCATTTATAAAATCAACTTTTTAACCTAATTTCAAAATATGAGGATTTTTAAAAAAGGCTAACTCGATATTTTAGCCAAAAGTAAATTAACTAAGCTTGGAAATTTTTCCGACAAATGACATAAAGCGAGTCATTTAACAACATTATCTATATCTTTGATACTCATTAACTTGTGGCATCGGAAATGTTATATCAAAATAAGTTGGATTGGTTATGGTAAAATTTAAAACTATTAGAATAGCTTTTTTTTCATCAGGCTACTAGGTTGAGCTATTGTTTAGTAAAGTAATACTAAGTGTTTACCGCTCCGAGAAGCGTTACGTATTTTTAATAATTTGTAAAAATGTGAAAATTATATTATAAAATAAAATAATAGTATATTTATTGTTCATTCCTAAATTTGTAAGTTTTTTTACGTACTTAAATAAGAATTTTCTGAGATTATTTTTTTAGAAAATTATGGAGGATTTTTATCTAGATATTAATATAAAAGTATTATGAAAACAAAAATTTTACCTAATCATATTTTCCAGGGAGAGGTTTCAGCCCTTCCCCTTGTCTACGCCACTGGTCAGAACACTTATTTAACAACGATTTTACATTTGCAATGTAAAATTCAAACTGATATGGTAATGTTTATCATATCAACAAA